CCATTCAATTTCACATTTTCTTGCTTCCCAAAAGTTGTTCTCATCCTTAAACGAAATTGTGTGAATACATGTCATACTACTGATATTCTGGTAGTCTCGTAAGTCTACTCTAATACGCAAATAAAGGAACGACAGTTGAGTCTTCCCACGGTCACTTTAACAGGCCTAATGATGTCATTGGAGTTGGCTCGGTCGAAAGTGCAGGTCAGCCTCGACGAGACAGACCTTTGGTAGGCAAGGCCAAGTGGACTTCAATGGTGCTGCGACGTCTAGTAAGCCGGTTGTGGGAGAAACTCAATTATCAGTCCTTAAATTTAGCCTGAACGACCTAGGCCGACTACGTTGAGAATAAGGAATGAATGATCATCTCCGAAGATGAATGTGCTCTCGTGTGACGAGACCGCTGAGTGTGGTGATAAAGAGTTGGACTGAATCACATACAACTGATTGCTATGCCTGATTGGCTTTTAGCACCCTCGAAGCTGCGAACGGTTGAGTTGATGAGCCCAACGGGTTTGGCTTTCCAGTGAAGAAAGGAAGATGCGTCCGTGTTCACCGTTGGCAGTAAGATGAAACGAATAAACCCAAACAGGAACCAGCCGTCGATTAACTGGAGAATCTCTTATCACATATATACACACACACACACACAAACAAACACAAATACTTTCACATAATGGAGTGGCTAAAACAATGACATGTGAGGTGGGTCGTCGAAAGGGTCATTTTGCAAACCGGATTGTGCTAGCTCATATTGCTTCGACGCAACACGCAAAAAGATGGGGCTCGAACAAGCGGTCAGGGTGGTATGCAAACGGGTGAGTTGGGTGTGAGCTGGCACGAGAGTGGGGAGGAGAACAAGGTGAACGGGTGACCCACCGTCGCTGGGTTTGGCGATCTGCTTCTCCAGACGAGCCCGAAAGATGGCCGACTTGCTGCCGCCGTAGCGTCGCCGATGGCCGTCGTCGACGAAGATGTAGTGCGTGTGATTCTCGTTGAGCGAGACCGGCTCGCCTTTCTCGATGGCGTCGGAGACTCTGTAGTAGACGGGTTGAAGGCCCATTCTGTACTTCAGGAAGTCGCCCTGTCACGGAGCGTGAAAATAAGCCGAATTGCTGTACAGGAGCATGGCGGTTACTAACACAAACACACATACACACACACACACAGAAGAGGCAAGTGTAAATGCAACAAGAGAAAAGAAATGCAAATGGGAAATGGACGGGTAATGTACAGATCGTCGACGCCTTCTGACGGTGTCCGCGGCACCCGCCCGGTCAAACCATTGTCCGGCCCGTCGGGTCAGGTCACCTCGGGTTGCCAGGCGAAGCGCAGGCAACGTCATCGAGGCCACCTGACGACGCAAGGCTACCGCTTCAAATGGCGGCGGTGGGGAGAGAGAGTGAGGCCGTG